AAGTTCTAATCTTAACTGAAGCATCTCAGATTTTCCACAGCAAAAACATTGAAAAATATATCATTGGTTGAGGAAGAATTAATTTTAGAAGCGCTTTAACCCTTTGCGGCACAGTATGACGGTCTGGACACATCTAAAAATTTCCTTCTGCACGCACAGAAAAATTGAATGAAAAAGGATTTACAGGTTACTCTGAACCTTCTTTATTGATAGTAGATGGCAGCTCAACACAGATTAGTCCATATATTTTAGCCATGTTTAGTTTTTTAAGACCCTCATTTTTCAAAGAAATCTTCCAGATTTTTTTATGGTATAAAAGGAATTGCTTGAAAAGAAATTTCTGTGTGTTATTTTTTGGCTGTATGCTAATCTTCTTATTCTATATTAGTTTTAAATTTTTACCTTAAAATCTTGCCTAAAATCAAACGGCGAACCCTATGTGTGCCCAAACCGGGCTCACCGATCATCTAGGACAACTGAGAGTCTGTATTCTTCGTTTCTCCGCATCTCATCGGTCAGTTCATTGACAACAATGCTCGTTTCAGCACTCTTTTCGAAGCTCTATTCAATCAGTGTGCCCACTTTGGGCACACCCACAGAATTAAAAACGATAAGTGCTATCTTCACAAAATTTTACTTGTGTACTCCTCTAGGCCTAAGGTAGCGTGCCGGAAAGGGTTAAAGACTTCTAGAACAGCTAGTGAATGTGTTTTGTTGCAAAAATGTATATATGTCAGAGATGAATTTAACATCAGAATTATGGACCCTATTCCCGAATAGAGCGGAGAAGGGGGAAGGAAAAACCTTCAGATGACAGGGAAGTTTTTATTTTCTGAAAATCCTGTTAACTTATTTGCCTGTCTTACCTATTCAAGTAAAATAATCAGAATTTTTACATAATTTCTTTACTTTTTCGACGAGAGAACAACGAGCGGTTTTAAAGGGAAAATTTTAAGAACACTGCATAATACTGACATGTAAATAAAAATAATAAATAAATAAAAACCTTAAATTTAAAAAAATATTTAAAATAAATGAAGCTTGGAGCACCCCTTCCCCCCAAAAAAAATCAAAATTCGGAACTACGACCTTAGTTATTAAAGTATCAGAGTCTCTTAAAACATCATTTAAAATTAATTCCTATATTTCGGAAGTAAGATAATCTAACACTAGATGGCAGCACCACTTTCTCAGCGAAGAAATTTTCTTATTGGTTTTACACTATTTTCTATGAGAATAAATATTTTTCCCTAACTAAATTAATAATTTTTTACTTATTAAATGCATGTTATTTTATTTACTTCTTTCTAGCTGAATTTAAAGGCTTCAAACTTGTTCACAAATTCTCATATTAGTTCTCTACTAAATGCAATACGTCATTCACTCTACATTTGCCAGAGACGTACGGCAAGCCGAAATATTTTGTTTCAGATTATACTCAGAAAGAGCCTTAAACACTTCACTCTGTTCGAATAAAAAGTGAACTACGAAAAAAAAATTTCTTTCATAACATGCACTGCTATAGTGTAAATTTTGCTATGCACCAAGAGCGTAAGTCTAGATTTATTCAAACTTCTGCTGTTTTTAACAAAAATATATTATTTCATCGTAATTTTAGACGTTATTCATCAAAAATTGTTTACGTATTTAATTTCTGAATATATATATATATATATATATATATATATAAAGGTCATTTTGAAATATTTAATAAACATACAAACATATTACGACCTCAGATTAGTCACATTTCATAAGAAGAAAACATAATTCCTACGAAAATCTTATTATTACTACTGTATTGTGTATTTTGTTTAAAGAATACTGTCCGTTTTGCTTCCGAGTATGATAATTCTAAGAACGTCAATACTACACCTTTGCACTGCAGATAGCAACATGTCGTCTCTTCTTTAAATATCCCCCCAAATATGTTTCTCCACTATTAAGCTGCTGTTTTGTATCGTAATGACATATTAGGTAATGAAATGCAGGGTTAACCTAAAAGGAAATGACAGGATAAAGGCTTATAATTTGAAAGGTGTTTGTTTCTATAAGGAAGTAATTTAGACTGTTTAACAGAAGTCTTCAAGTTTATGATCTCCTCTTTTCGTTTGTTTTCGTAATGTTTGCGTCACATGAGCGTTCTTGATGACAGTCAAATAATGTAATTGCTGATGAGGTAGAAAAGGCTTGTCCTGCGCTTGTGTATGCTTAACGTATCGTGTCGTATACGACATACGCGTCGCTATACCAAAGAATATGTATTGTTAAGAAAGAAAACTTCGCAGCAGCAGGAGTGGCTCCTTCGAACGAAAAGGGAAACAGCTGTACATGCGTAAAATATCTGTCGCCAAAACGCGGCAAAGCTCGAAGCTGATGTCGAAGTTCGAACAGGCTTATCAAGAGTTTAAAGCTGTGTGACTCCATTTTTTTTCTCTTCATATTGACAGATATAAAATCAGACATCAAACTGCAATATGAATAACGCAAGTTCAACTAGTAAAGCAAAAAAGCACGAAAATCCGAGTTTAAATTATCGCGAAAAGTCAACGAACGATTCGTACACGTGGCGGAGGAGGAAAATCTCGGCCAGGTCCGGTACATCAAAGGATTTGTAAGGACCCTTACAAATTCTTTGGGTACATCACACAGGGGGAAATTCTCGCCAACAGGTTCCGTAGCCAAATCCTTTGACGAATTTTCCCTCTTCTTTCTACCGGCGTAGAAGACGAACTGGTTTACATTACATCTATGAGGACTTTCCTTCTTTACATAGACGTTCTTCGGCTACACGACACGATAGTCAGACTCTCTTACTGTCGTGTTGTATAATATCGTTTTAGAATGGTTGGTTATCAAAACTCATAAAGAAATCAATCTATGACTGAGGCAAGAACTTGGAGGAAATGACTGATTGTGTAAAGGGAAATTATTGAGAAACCACTCGGATCAAAGAAAACAGCGAATGGTATTCGTGAAACATATAGGCTTTCGATTATTTTAGCCTTTTTCTGCGTTGGAATTATCCGGTTACTCCTGCTGCTTTTTGCTCCTGCTGCTTATCCACTCCTGCTGCTGCGAAGTTTTCTTTCTTAACAATACATATTCTTTGGTATAGCGACGCGTATGTAGTATACGACACGATACGTAAGCATACACAAGCGCAGGACAAGCCTTTTCTACCTCATCAGCAATTACATTATACATCAGCAATTATCTACATCAGCAATTACAACATATTAGGCATCAGTAGTCCTATCATCGGCTGTAATATTGACCCCCAACCTATCCCGACAGGCCCACCAGCGGTCGAGCGGTAAAAACCGCTGAACACTGTAGTTCGGTCCGGGGTTCGAGTCCCGGCGATCGGGCTGGCTGCATGGGCGTTTTCGTGGTTTTCCCCATGCGTAACGTGGATACGAGCCAGTTTCCCTTAAAAAGACCCCCACGGGGCATCCCCCCTTTCCGTGTAGTGCCCAAGGGCGGAACACGTAATAAGTCCCCCCCCCCCCGAAAAAAAAACCTATCCCAACAAAACGACTTTGTGAGTGTGATGTTAGATGTACCACCAAGATCTGCTTCCTCTCTCTCCACCTGAGTTACCTGTGGTCGCGTAGCAACGGGGCACTAATCGCCCTCCTCTTGTGACAACCGCAGGTATTTAACTCCTGTGTCCTGACAATGAGGACTTCTTATTTTGACTTTAGCCCAGTGGATTTTCCTTCTTTCTTAAGCGAATGCTTTCTCTTCATTATATCCAACTTTTATTAACGCTGATATGGAGATAATTTCAATTATTTGCAAAGGTACTCCGTAAGCAAACGCTTTGGTCGTTGGTCGAAGATCTGCTCAAGCCACCCATGTTGGGAAACCACCTACAGCTTGATAGTGGCCCGTTAGCCGCTCCCCCCGACCGAGGAACGTAGCGACCCTCCGCCGCAGAGAGAGGCGGACCTTCAGAAGGGCCTGAGACTTACACAAGCAGCTGGAAGAAGTGAATGATTGCAAATAAGGAATTTAAAATTCACAAAAGACTGTTGAATGTCTTGAATTCAGGAAGCCACAAAGTGCATTTAACATTTTGGCCACCAGAAGTCCTGGTTTGACAGCGTATCATTGATTTTTGTAAGGATGCAACAAAGACCAAGTTTTATTCCTTCCTGTTCAGCAATATCTGGACTGTCTCAATAACGTTATCATAAGAGCTGCTGCAGCTTTGACAAGGAAATGCTGAGACTTGTTTGAAAAGAACCTAGCTATAACATTGACAGTCCTTTTGCGACCCTGCAACTTTACGACAGTAGGAATATAAAATAAAATCGTTAAATTATTTTAGCAGTCAGTCTTGTGTTGACAGGGTACTGTATTTTATTTTATTTTGGTTTCAAATTTGTAATAAAATATTTTTTTCATTTAAAGATAACGATAAATTTTCATTAATTTTATGCCATACCCGGTGATCCAAGTACTAACCAGTTCTGTGCTCCGTTAATGACAGATAATAGGGATTTTACTGTAATAAAATGTATCTTACTTCGATTCAAAAATAAACTAGCGTTCATTTCTGAAAGTCATCAATTTCTTTGCATGATTTACGAAGGACCTTTTCTGAAAATTTACATTTATATCCTAATACCAATTACGTACAAAAAAAACTAAATACATGCTAATATGTTCGAAATTAAAACAACTTCAAAATGAAAGTGTTCGAAATGAAACTTATGAAAAAGTACCGAATTATCAAATGTAACAAGGAAACAAAAACAATAATAAATTAAAAAAGCGTTTTATTAATTAAAAAGTAACCCGATTAAATATCTATAACATTTCGGATAAATCTAAAATGGAAAAGTATTCTAGGACTTTAAATGAATTAATTTTATAAGTTAAGTACCATCTGCTTTTTTCCGAAATTACCTTGAAAGAAAATTTAACTGCCACGTGTACAAATCAAATAATAACCACTATTCAAAATAATATCATAAATACTTCATACTTACACGTGAAACTGAGGTAGTGATTAAAGCAAGAAACGAGATGGCGAGCAGAAGCCTGGAAGAAAAAAAAATTCATTAGAAACAAAATTAAAAAACAGATGATAATAAATTAAATTCATGAATCATTTCGAAGTGAGATTACGGATTTTGTCATCATTTCAAATGTAAGGATGTGGTTTCATTCATAATTTTGTTTAACTGGAACTAAGATTCGCGATTTAATTAGCTTTTTAACTATTAAAGAATTCTTATAATCTTAAAATCTTTTTTATAGATGTAAATAATTTTAGTGAATTATCTGCGAAATTGTAATATCTTTTATATAAGGTAACATGAAATGCTTGAAACGTTAGAAAAATAAGATTACACAGGCAAGTCAATTTAAAACTGAGGTAAATGGTTATTTCGCTAAATTGGCGAGATATTGCCAAGTTGTTAATAGTTTCGGCACCTAATTTTTGTCGCCAAATTTGGCGAAAGTCACCTTGGTGATATTTTGTTCCGTTCCCTGTATAACTGAATTGGTACTGTAGTTGACTAACTGTAATCAAAGAATTTGTAAGGGAGATTACAAATTCTTTGCTGTAATCGATCCCTAGATGTAACTGTAACCGTCTCTCATATGCTTTCAAGCAAATTTAAGAAAAGGAAGGTATTAGAGATTTCTCCGGAACTAGGGGAAAACTATATAATTGCCCAGTGAGAGCATCAGTTCTCAGTTTTTACTTCAGAGGTGAATTCGCAGTAGTTATAGATCTCCGTGAGAGCTTCACTCTTTAGATGTACTTTGCAATGAGTTGCATTTAGTAGTTTGAAATAGTAACTATTGATTGTGCTTTGTCAGTAATTCGCAGGTAATTCACAGCTAATTCGCAGATAATTCACTAAAATTGATTACATCTATTAAAGTTTGAAATAGTAACTATTGATTGTGCTTTGTCATACTGAGAAGAAACTTTTGTGAAAAGTTCCAAATCTTTAAACTGTTTCTTTCCGGATAATAAATTTTATCAAGCTATCATCGGTTCTGTGTGCATTCAATCCATCATGAACCCAAATGCACGTAACACTACATTTACAAAGTCTAAAAGGCGTCAAATATTATTACAGTGATAAAGACAAAGTTATTTCATGTATATGGCTTTGTAATGCGTGTAGCGATTACGATACTTGTATATTGTGTGTGTGTGTGTGTGTGTAGAACATAGGCTTACGATAGTTGTGTATTGAAGATATAAAGTAAATATGCTGCTTAAATAGTAATAAAAATTTGAAAATACAAAAAATTAAGGTCTGAGAATGTCATTCTCAAACGGAATTAAACTACTGAGAAACATGATTTGAAAATTATGATTCAGGAAATTACTTTCACGTCGGATAAAATTAGTTATCCGTAAATAATTCAGTTACATATCTTAATACAACGGCAAGAACATCATTTCTCTTGTCATCAAGGCAGAGCCTCAAACACAAAGGCAATGCATAAGCAATGTACTTTTTTTCTGGACAAGAACCATTAAACATTCAATGAATTACAGTTCCTTAGAGTTATATTAGCGCATTTAAAGGTAACGAGGCAAAAAAAAGAAAAACGTTTAAACCTGCTGCAACAATAGACTACTAAATGCAAGCAAGAAGGAAAGTTACTACAGACGAAAAGGGGAAAATAGAGATCAAGGCCACCAACTTTTGACGCAGTATTAAAGGCAATCTAACATGTGGTTTACGGATTTTCTGATATAGATGGCACAGGGGGTGCGAGCTCCATTCAGTTGGAATCAGCAGACCACCTTTGGAGTTCTGCAACAATGTAGTCATGCAACATGCTGGTAAGAACATGCTGACTGACGATATAGTGTTAAAAACACAAATAGGCCAAGCTACGAACTAATGTCATCTCATATTTTCCCCTTCCTTTCCGCATGCTTGCTTGGTGTAATTGGAAACATCACTCGACGCGTATTCGAGAGGTTCAGAGTTCGAGTCCCGGCGAGGGCACTGCACATTTGTTCATGGGTTTTGTTTTAAAAATACCTAATGAATGTACAATCTGAAGTGGAATATAGATAGGAAACACCAGGGGCGCCAAATTGATGTTACGACATTTTAGAATTAAATGTTTTCCATCCTTGGCAAGCAGTAGGGGGCGCGAAATCTTCAGTTGCCCCTGGGCACTGAAAACCCTAGCTACAACTCTGGGAAACACACATATTATAAGGTATTTCTCCCGCCTTCTTAGCGTCCCTTCGTGGTGTAGTGGTTCTACACACTGAGCCGGTATTCCAGAGGTCCGCGGTTCGATTCCCGGAGTAGGTTTGGTTAATTTTTCATGTTTCCTGCTTCCAAAGACACCTAATGTCTCTACGATATGTGTACATCTGTGAAAAGAATATGAAAAGGAGAGGGTAACAATACTTTTGGAACATCCCAGACACCAAGATTCAACAGACATTTCACACATGTGTAATAATTGTAACTAGTACTTATTTTCTGTTTTAAGAAATTTCCATTGCACATTTGTGGCAAAAGCTATTGATAGATTAAACAAAATTAACAAAAATCCTAAAAATCAAACAAATCAAAAATCCTAAAACTAAGAAAAACAAGAAAAGACTTATGATAAAATATAGGAAATGTACATAGTGTAACGCGGCCTCTTGATATGGTGGTAGAGGAGCTGGCTGCCATAACTTTGGAGCTGAGATTCCCGGAGAAAGACATGCATGTTTATACATATAACACTGCTTTGCGGCATGAGGGCACTTAAAATACCGGAAACAAAGTGCTCTCCAAAGGCTGATAGAGTCGTTCTATCTCATGAAGAATTCGCCTTCAAAACCAGGACGGGGCTAAGCAAATTCTATGATCACGCGAACGCGCGAAACTCGCTAAAGGCATGAACTGCATGCTATTCAGAACTGAAGAAATAAAAAGTGGAGGATAAAACCTAATTTAAAGATGAACGTACATTTTGAGACAGGATTAAACAAAACTAAATAAAAAATAAATACTACTAAAGAAATATTAAATTAAGGTGGATCAATAATTTTACTCTTTTTAATTTACAACGTAATTCAAATTTCAACGCAGCAATGGACAGTGTTAACAAAATGAATTAACTCGTGAAATTAATCAAAAACTTCACTGTATACAACGTTTCCGTTAAAAACATTGTTGAATATTGTCAACCATTAATAAACCTTAATCAATTGAATGCGTCCACGTCATACACATTTTTTCTCTTCGCCTTTTCTAATACAAGATGCCCAAGGCCTCAGCCAGCGACAAACGCAACTTTTGCTCCTTCGCCAAAACAATGTCAGACGAGTAAGACTGTAACGTATTAACAATTGTAACATATTAGTGAACTGTCACATCATCAACTGTTACATATAAATTGCTGATAAACCATCACTATAACGGAAGCAAATAACAATAAAAATAATAAAAACTGAAAGGTTTCAGATTTTAAATTACGTCCAAAAGGGCGTTTATTAAAAATTTTGTGTGTTACCTTTATTTATGAAATATCATGTTCTTCGCACTTAAACCATAAAATTCAGTTCAACAGCAATATCGAAAAATAATTTTAAATTGAGCATATCTTTAGAATTTCCGATACACAGACTCGCGCGCTGGAGATAAAAATGTTTTTTCTGTGCAACATTGCCATGACTCGCTTTGAAATCCTCGAATTTGTTAATCAAAATTTCGTCTTAAGTTTTACAAAATATGGAATCGATAATAATACAATTTCCAAATTTCAAATTTCAAAATTCCAAATTCCAAAATTCAGATGCCCATATTCGCGGAAGGATTACGTTATTAAAACTGGATGGCTATAGGTACCGTTATTTTATCACAACTCTAGAAACATTAATGCATATTCTTCATTATTTAATTTCTTTAAATATAATACAAGACGATAATATTTGGTGGCAACAATATGAAAAGTGAAACAACGCTTTTAGTGAACTAACGCAAAATGCCAAAACGAAATTAATAGTCCTTCGGGGCAAATTGTTCCTTTGGAATGTGAAGGCTTATAAGTAATATTAACTACGTGCATAAGTAACAGTAACTACATGCAAAATTTGTCGCTTACACGCATACGAACAAAATATCTTAATTCGTCAATTTACGAACAAAATATCTAAATAATGCTAATGAGAAATAGAACAAATCTTTAATCTACGAAGATATACGGTCATCTGCATACTCCTTTTATTAAACTAAAAACATTTACATTTAAATAGAAGTGTTTCTAAATTTTCTTTTTAAAAAAAATATTATTCAGATGAAAAGCTTTGCTTTCCTTACTTCTTTATTATTTAAATAAGCACCGTTTAGAGCAAGGTTTAAATTAATGAAAGTAAAGACACGAAGCATTTTAATGACTTGTTGCCAAACAGGAATATGAAACTTTTCGCTTTTCTCTCTCTTTTTCTAAAATCCCAGATATTTTCAGTCACATAAAAAGTTCCGCTAGATGTATGTCCCTAAAAGCAATGAGATGATTATATATATTTAAAAAAATGACTTGAGTAAATAAAACGTAAAAACCGTAGCTTCTGTTATCGACACTTAACAGAATATTATTCTTTGCTGAGTACATTGAAATGCTTTTAAGGAAGGGAGGGAAATGACGTAATGGAAGCGTCCACGTAAAGGGAGGGGAGAAAGCTATATTATTAAGGTTGAATTGTAGATCATCCATCACTGCGCAACAAATGAGGCAAATAACTGCAGTTGACATCCAATCATCTTGGGCACTTTAAAAAGAAAAACTAAAAGCAGAATAACTCTAAACGGCACCGTTTAAGAAGAAAATGAAAATCTAAAACGACAAAATATTTCGAAATATTCTCCAGTTCTCGTTTTCTGCGAAGAGACGTGGAAAAGTTCAAAATTTATTTTTACCAACAGCCAGAAGCTATGTTTGATTATAAATTGCTTTCGTTTGCATTAGCAATTAATTTGCTCATAAAAAGCACAAATCAGCAGAGTGAATCCAATTTTTTACAGCCTTTTAACAATAACAGCCTTTTAATGATC